TGACGGTCAGGTACGATCATTATAATTTCACCCACAAGAAACAAAATTCATTCACACTCCAAATAGTCATAGTCAACATCACTGATCGAACATTACTTAATTGCCAACAGCATATCCGGAGAGTCCATTGTAAACCTACTAGGGTTATATTGGTAAAGATCAATCATGGAAAGGACCACCAATAACATTCTTCATTATCCAGTCGGACTTACCCTCAAACTCTCCCTCTCGACCTTACACCCAAACTTAACCATGAGCACGTTTCAATTCAACTGAAGGGTGATCCTACTTACCCAACAGAAAGATGAACGCAAGCATTAATTTAGAGGTGTTAACCGCCCCGCCCCTTCGAGGCACTAGGACTTCGAGACCACCAGCCTCCGCCCCACGCGGGCTTTTTCTCGGCATAGAGGCTTTGAACCGCGGACACGACCACTCCTGCGTTCGAATGACGCCCCACTCCATAGAAATGCGCCGAAAAGCCGTCTCCGCCCGGAGCGTCGTGAGTTGAGGCCCTCCTGACACTTGGGCCTCCCTCCAGACGCCACGCGGACCCGCAAGACTCACACCCGTTTGGGCGCGTTACCAGGTCCTGATCACAGCAGGGGCTCTCCCGCCACTCGACCGGCACTCACCACCCAGACTGGGTGATCAGTTGACAACTCCCCGCCCCCTCTCTTTGTCCTCCGAGAGTGGGCTCAGGTGTGGTGTATCAGTAGCGATCCGGGTAGCGGATGAAGTCGAGTAACAAAATCGATCATGGACCGGTTCTGCCTAGGGTGAACTCGTTACTCCAGTACACTTCCATGTGTCATCCATTATGTTGCCAACATGAGTGGTTTGTTATGGCCGACTCGATGAATCTAGCACAGAGTCCCAGTAGGACCGCCACTCGGTTTCGAGCTATCCAGTGGAGCGAGAGGCGTTGCTCCCAATCACTCGGCCTGCAAGGTCCTCCATCAGTCTGCCCACATGTGCGTTGAAATCTCCTCCCAGCAAGATTAAAGAGTCCGTACTTCAGGAGCCCATACAGGACTCTTTCCAGGGTCTCCAAGAAGGCCGTATACTCTGAACTGCTGTTGGGGTGCATAAGCACACACAACAGTCCAGAGTTTTCCCCCCCATAAGACCCGAAGCGCGTAGGGAGGCAACCCTCCTTCGTCCACTGGGGTAGACTCCAACAACGAAGGCGCCCACCAACCGGGGGACTTTTGTGAAGTATCCCACATCCCGCCCGGCCGCTCCACACCTTGAGCCAACTCCGGAGGAAGAATGAGTCCAACCCCTATCCAGAAGTAAGGTTCCAGAGCCGACGCTGTGCGTAGAGGTGAGCCCAACCAGATCCAACTGGTAACGCTCCACCTCCCGCACAAGCTCCGACTCCTTCCCCCCCAGAGAGGTGACGTTCCACGTCCCCAAAGCCAGCTTCTGTCGCCCGGGTCTGGTCCGTCGAGACCCTCTGCCTTCACTGCCACCCTTCTGGCAGCGCACCCGACCCCATCGCTGTTTCCCGTAGGTGGTGGGCCCGCGGGACGGAGAAGCGGAGGTGTTGCCCACGTCGCCTTTTCGGGCTGTGCCCGGCCGGGCTCCGTGGCAATCCCGGCCACCAGACGCTCGCCGACGAGTCCTCCTTCTGGGCCTGGCTCCAGAAGGGGACCCCGGGCTTCCTCCCGGCCGGGTATCCTCACTTCGTGTGTCGTCTTTCATGAGGTTTTCTGAACCAATCTTAGTCTGACCCCTTGCCTGAGACCAATTTGCCATGGGAGACCCTACCAGGAACACAAGGTTCCAGACAACACAGCCCCCAGGTTCATCAGGGCACACAAACCTCTCTACCACGGTAAGGTGCTGGTTCTTCAGAGAGGTAGTCTAAGCCTTCTCTACTAATACAAATGTGTTTTAACTGCATTTATACATTAATGAATTGTTTGTATATTTGTATTATGCAAGTTATTGTACAAATGTCACGTTTCATCCCTAGCTTTTTTATTATTGTTTTCGGCTTTTTATTTACTTATTTATTATATAAACGTATTAGGGAAATTGAACATTTGCCGGAATCCCTATATCATGTATGCCTATGTTGTTTCTCTGGACACATGACTGTACTGTTTGAATGCACTTTGTAAAAGAAAATAAGTAGTAAAATGCAACTTTAATAAGTTGATGTGTCAGCAGCTCTCCAACCCATCTCTTCCCTCTCTCTGACCTCATTCACTTTGCTTTAGCCCGCTGTGGCTCCATGTATCTTCATATCTACTGAATGTTACTACAGTGCATTCCAGCTCATTAACACACTCACATGCACACACAGATGCACAGCTGGTTTACTGCAGACCACCACATCAAAACAAGACCAGATCATTGGACCCTGCTGTAGCTTCCTCTCTGCATACAGTCAGTTTGAAGAAGCTGGGCACAATGACTGTAATTGCACCAATATGTGCTCCATTAGTGACAACAACTAGGAAATGATCAAAGTTGAAACACCGAAAAGACAGTACTTCTGTTATGCTGAATTGCAGAATCTCTATTTCTCATAAACACATGGTAACTCTATGATTCATATAATGTTCCACTAGAGAATTAATTCATTACATAATCGTTATTCAACATGTTACTATTTATTTTCTATAAAGGACAACAACAGTGTCCTTAAAGTTTCCTTTCCTTGTCTATACTTTTTCTATAACGTCCAAATAGAAAAATATAGTTTTATTGGCCTTAGGATATTATACAATAGTTTATTTCTTCATATAATAACGGTTTATTACATTCCTATTACTTGCTACGTAGTTTTTGTCGTATGGCATCCTTTATGTACAATGAGGTCACTGCCTACAGTTATATTTCGGTAGAGCAGAGTAACTGTTTCTTTATAATTGGACTTACCTTGCCAAACTTTTGATGCTGCACATAAAGTTGTCCCTCCTTAACGTGGGTGTCCATGCCCCCCAAACTCTCCAGGGCCACCCTTCCTCTAAAAAGACGAGATTTGAGTTGAACTTGACTGGACGAAAATCACTTTTTAGAGGTTTCTTTTCCCCTTAACAACTTCCCTCCTCCTTTTACTTCCGCTCCCCAGCCGTTATAACGCATGTATCGTACCGCTGGCGCACAGTTAAAGGTGTCATGGTTAAAATAAAATAAAAGCCCAAACAGTGGCTGGGTGGTCCGACAAAAGTTAAATAGTGTCTAAATGTTGTCGGTGGGACGCCTATCTGTCGCCTCTCACTCCTCCTGCTGGGCTGGACCACTGCAAAGCCACTCTGCATAGATAAGGTAAAGTTTCCGGTTATAACTTTCAGAATAAAAGTCTGATTAATGAATAGATTCAGGGGCATTCTGGCAAAGTTCAGCATTTGGTCTAGGCTTTCAGGCAATGTCAATACAAGACAGGTAACGTCAAGGCTCATGGCAAATGCATCTCCTTCAAGTGGGTAAAACAAAAATGGTATATTCTATTGGATCCTCAAGAATATTACGAGATTGTAATTTGGTGCAATCTGTGTTTTTTGTAAAAGCCACACATCATCAGGCAAAAAGCACATCATCAGGCAAAAAACATCATCAGGCAAAAAACTGGTGCCTGATGATGTGAGGAGCTGAACCTCTATCTCCATTTTCAAAACCAACTTAAAATATCTGTTAAAAGCTGCCCTACTTTGTTTGCCACTTTAAAAGAATCCGGTAATCTCACAAATGTACTTTGAATACCATAATAACTCATATGTGTGCACTGAACTAATTAGAGGCAATGCCGTTATGCAGTTAACACATAGGCCTACCAGGAACAGGATAACTGGTCTGACGTATCAGTACTGTTTATTAAACATTATTATTTAGACAAGAGTTTAACCCAGGAAAGTTTGAGACATTTTTCATAATTTGTTGTGATTGTTTTTGGGCTTTACAAAGTTCTGACGTGTTTTTATTTTGAAATCTGAATGAGCAGACATCCGGTAGTGACTCAGTGGAGCTTCACTTGTCAGTCTGAGGGGCAGTGATCAGCGCGTGCAGAGCGCACCGAGCCGCTCTTCGAGTCCCACCTCCTCACTCTTGTGTAACTTCTCTATCGGTTTCAGGTTTAACGCAGGCACTTTCTAACGCACATGCATTATAATGCATCTATATAATAATAATAATAATAATAATAATAATGATTACACTGTACACTTCATGTGATAACATTATGTTTGGCGAACTAACAGAACATCACAGCAGGACAGTCGGACTATACATCTCATAGTAGTTATTATTCCTTGTAGGCCTACGAGCAAACATCATAAAGAAAGATCAGATTTCCCATTATTAATACTAACTTCAACTACAGAGATATTAAAATAATGTCGAGCAGCCAAGGAATGATAATAGTCTATGTTGGCAAAGAGAAGCTGGCCCCAGAGTTAATGTGTTGCAGATGCCTCCTGCTGGCTCACTCAGAGCTGTTGTCCCTGTTTCAGATCATAACAAATGCTGCTAAATCCCTGACACTGACTGAGTATAGGGTTTTAGACTTCATTTAGACCTATGTATTGAGGGACCAGGTGCATGTCCAGGCAAAAATACTCAGGTGCCGTGCATGACAGTATATTCTAATTTGGAGCCAGAGCACAAAGGAGGCCTGCACACTGCCAGGCTCTTGAATAATGTATTTCTCTTTTTGATGCAACAATCTGCTCAGGCTTGGGTGAAAGAGAAAAACAGGCATTTCTCTTTGAGGCAGTAATCAACTCAAATCACTATCACCTGTTGGTCTGCAATCAGCGGGGGGAAAAACACCACAAGACTTCAATCAAAGAACTCCAGAAAATAGACACCCACACAAATAGAAATATGGTTACTTGCAATACAACAGCATTGTAAAAGCATGCAGCAAGCACACAAAGAATATATAATTTAATAGAAATTATAATTATGTGTTCCCACAATTTATGAAATGATTAAAACATTAGGCTATATGTCATCAGTTGTAAGTGGTTTTATTTGATGCTTAATAGTGTTTACTATCTTAAATGAATTGAAGTTATACTTATGGTATAATTGATACTATGGAGTTAGTATTGTGAAGAAAGAGCACAGCTGCCGCCTACTGGTAATTTATTAGTATTGCATGTTGAAGTTCAGTTCCAACTCTCGCGATATTTGTGCACTACACTGAACCAAAACAGGAAGCGAGACATGGCATCGGTGTTCGGCGGAGTAGAGGGGTGAGAATAAGTTAAAATATAAAACTAAACTTTACAATTTCATATATTATGAATGATAAGTTAAGGCTAGTATGAATTGTAGGCTTTTACTCGTTTTTTCGCGGTTGCCACTGAGAAATTTGCGGTACCAGCCGATATTGAAAGAGTTTCGTTATGACCTGACTTCTTGTGCGCGAGCATCTGTCTCGTGACCCCTTTCTCTCGCTTAAGTTACCTGTGGGGTACTGTCCGTTTACATACGAATATGAGATATTTGTAAAGCTTTTTATGTCCCTTCTGCCTCGGCTATGAGTTTATAAGGGACTAATAACAAATACATTAGGTTTTACCTTGTGTGTTTCAGTTTCGTTTATCCCCTCTGTTCTCTGTGTGTGTCCTCAGTGGAGGGACTCACTCCAAGGTGGTGCTGCTGTCAGCAGATGGAAAGATCCTGGCAGAGACAGAGGGACCATCCACCAACCACTGGGTGAGGAAAACGTTTATTTATGGGGGAATTTGGATTATGTGCTTGACCTTTTTTGCAGTGATTTAATGTCACCAAGTGCATTCAAGTACCTTGAGTACAAATTCGAAGTACTTTAATAGTTTCCATTTTATGCAACTTTATATTTCTACTACACTACATCTCAGATTTAAATACTGTACTTTATATTCCACATGTTTCTTACAAACAATAATTCTATCAGTCATTGTGCTCTTTGTTTTCATATGTTTTGTATACAGTTGGTTGGGGTTGACAAATGTATCGACACCATCAACGACATGGTCCAGAAAGCCAAGATGGAGGCAGGGCTGGATCCAAACACGCCACTATACCTATTGGTAAGTCGAAGATACAATGTTGTGGGATAGTATTTCATTAAGAAATAAGTGGCATTTCAAACTCTTTTTTGTGTGTGCAGGGCATGTCTCTGAGTGGGGGGGAGCAGAAATCAGCCATCGACAAACTGATCGCTGAAATGAAGCAGCGATTCCCCGCTCTCAGCCAGCACTACTTCATCACCACAGATGCTATTGGTGCCATGGCAACTGCCAGCGATCAGGGTAACTAGTGTTTTTTTGCAATGAATCCCCACAAAGCACAACACTTTAACCAAGCAATGCTGGAGAAAGGCGTTAAGGACTAGCCTGAATTTACACTGAACCAATCTAAATCGCCTATATGCAGTGATGGTATTTGTAATGTTACTTGGAAATAACTAAGTACTAACACCACAATAAAATAAAAACTGAGTTTCAAGAACTTCATTAATACCCAAGGAAATATTTGTGCCATAGACACTCACGAATTACAAAATGACCATCTTCATTAACCTTTAAAAGTAATTTTCAAGTATGGCCTAAGAAGTCATATAACAGGGCATGGCTTGATACTTTACACTCAGGTGTGGCTGTATTAAAGGGATATCATTTCATAAGTCTCTCCACATTTATGGCTTAATGAGATCATCCTTATTGTTGTCATATAATGACATCAGCTCACTGTGTCGGTTTTCTCTGCAGGAGGTGTGGTGTTGATATCAGGGACCGGCTCTAACTGTAAACTGGTTCACCCTGACGGCTCACAGGTCGGCTGTGGAGGCTGGGGTCACATGATGGGGGATGAAGGAGGAGGTAACCATGGAGATATGTAATATATTTGAATAATGTATGGCTTTACTGATTGATAGAAACTCACAGCTCTGTTTCTCAGCCTTCTGGATCTCTCACTTGGCGGTGAAGACGGTGTTTGATGCCAAAGACAACCTGGTGGCTCCTCCTCATGACATCACACATGTCGGAAAGGCCATGTACGAGTACTTCCAGGTCAGATTGCCACAACAGCAAGAAATGTGTTTATATGTAATAAAACCAGCTCAGGGTAATAGAAACAGTATGTTTTACCTCTCATATTTGTCTACTGGCACTGACAAAGGAGTCTGTGTCCTAATTTAGAAGGTTTAGTTCAAATAATAAATGTATTAAATGTACTTTCCTGATGCAGGTGTCAGATCTGATGGGCATGCTGCCGCACCTCTACACAAACTTTCAGAAGTCCCATTTTGCAGGTTTTTGCAAGAAGCTTGCTGAAGGTAGGCTGTGCATCACTTCCTGTTTGGTTCTTTTAAGTGCAAACATTTAAGATTTGATTGGAAGTTGAACTGAAACGTTTTTGGGCGCATGTGTTTCAGGAGCAAAAGCAGGGGATGCTCTCTGTCAGCATTTGTTCACTCAGACTGGGAGAGTCCTGGCAAAACATGTAGAAGCAGTCCTACCTGCAGCAAAAGAGGTACCAAATAACCAAAGTTACAGTAGTTTTACCTAGTTTCAATTTAGTTTTGACTTTTTAAATGTAATCTAGTTCAGTTCGTTTTTCACAGTGTTTTATTTAAATGTTTTTGGTGTTTGTATTGGTTTTACAGTAGTTTAAGTTTCCTTTTCCAGGTAAATTGTCTCAGAAGTGTGAAGCTTCATTTACACATGAAGTTCATGGTTTGAGAGCTGTGTTAGATTTGTGAGTCAGCGTGACTCATCTTTCACTCAGAATAAAACTTTCACCAGCATTATTATCCCACACACACAAACATGTCAACCACACATACTCATATTCACATTTGAATTTCTTGTGATTTCTTTGTACCTCTGTGATCGAAGCCTCTATTGAATGGTGACCTAGGCCTGCCTATCCTGTGTGTGGGCTCAGTGTGGAAGAGCTGGGAGCTTCTGAAGCCAGGTCAGTGTCACAAATCAAGACAATTAGGTCCTTCATTAAACATCATTTGCATCATCTGCAAAGAATCCCAGGCATTTTCAGTTACCCCTCTGTTTCTGTATTTCTCTCTCTAAGGGTTCACCGAGGTCTTGGATAAAATGGCATCAACTGACAAGTTCAAGGGCCGTTTCCATGGCTACAGCCTCCTGTCCCTGCAGCAGTCCTCGGCCCTCGGCGGTGCGAGTCTGGGGGCTCAGGGTATCGGCGCAGCTTTAACTTTGGACTACAAAGCTAACGCCAAAGTCTTCTACCAACACACTTTCAACAGCAGCCAATGATAGTGCCGCTGCACATCCTGGAGCTCTTAACCAATCATAGTTCAGATAAAGGGAGATTGCATTATGAGCATCATGCTAAAGTGATGATGATAATAATGATTCTGTAATAATGATATTGGCTTTGATCTTTTACTACAAGATACAAAGAAGTTTGATGAAATTATTCAAAAATATTTGCTTTTACTGCTGCATAGTACCTATTTGGACCATTTCATTGATATTCCTTTTTTTGTTTTATTGAAATTGTAAATCTTTACACCTTTTACAACAGTTGTTTACATTTGAAATTTATAATAAAAAAAGATTCAGATTTGCAAATAATCTCTTATCCACTAAAGTAATTGAAGTTCTAAACTGTGATCCGAAATACCTGTTAGTGTTTATAAACAAATCCTGAATACAGTTTATATATTTACTTTGTATTTTTAATACACTTTTACTGAGATAATACTTAATGCATCTAAAAGGTAATATATTCTTTATAATATTTTAAAGTGGGATCTACATTTTTGGTCATGGGGAAATCTGGTGTTCATTATGTTTTCCAAAAATATTAAATTATTTATTATTTATTCATCTAGTTTTATTCTATTAACCAAACCATTGAATTGGATCTGCCATGCGTAATTGTGACTTTAAAATCACATCCAAAAGGGACTGCGGATAGACTTGGAAGTACAGTATGTGGCTAGCAACAGTCAAAGTAGCAGTATTTGTTGTGTTGCCACAGTCATTTGAATATATACAATTCAATTGAAAACAGCAGCAGTAACATTCCACTGGCTGTCTCTCTCACAGAGTTCAGTTCAGCTTCACGGCTGTTGGTGGTGCGCTGAGATTACTCTACCACAGAGAAATCTAAAGACCTGCAGATGCTTCCCTATAACCAGTTTAAGGTAAATATTCTGAGATTCAAGCCATTTAAACACTTTTCTCATCATTGAGTTAAATTATGAAATACAATGCCTTCTTATTGTGTTTCTCTTAGTTTGTTTTGAATTGAAATGAGGTTAAAAGTAGACTCCTGCTGCTACAGCTAATCTTACCAATATACACAGATGATGATACAGTTGATACATATTGCCTCTAACTTAATTATTAGCAGTTTTTAACTAATGTTGTATAACAGGTTATTTTTAAACCTGCTTTAAGGCTATCTGACATTTGGCCACTTGAGGGCAGCAGAAATAAATTTATTTTAATCCCACTACTTCAAGTATATTTAGCTAATAATACTTTGTAAATTGTTATACATGGAAGACTAAAGCTTCTAAATCTGTGTATGTACAATTCTGTTATTTTGCATAATTATTTGTTTCTAAATGTAACCCCACATTTAGTTGAAGCTTTTATTTATTCCGTTACTTCTCTATCATTTATTGAGTCATTTATTTGTTATCATAATAGCAGCTTAAGTAGTTGTATTGCAGAATTCACTTAAATAAAGGATCTGATGGGAAAGGCTCTACATAATTAAACCAGTGTAACTGATACCGTGTTAATCCTGTCTTTGTGCTATCCCACAGTACTTAATATGACCCCCCGTCACAATGCATGTGTTCCCTTTCCAGACAGTGGGGATGATGCCCTGGGAGAGATATGTCACTACTTACAACAGAGACTTTCCGCCCGTCAATGAGCGTCAGCCGCAGGTCAACCAGCCGAAGTCGAGGACTGAAGCTCAGGCTGCACCTTCATTCATCAGCCCACCTCAGGTTGGATAGACACACAGAAAAAGAAAGATTTATTCAATTTCAGACTGACTCACTGACATGATGTGATTGTGTATTCACAGACCGAACGTGAAACATGGCCTATATTTCACCATAACTTTTACAAGACGTCTAACAGCGCCTACGGCTCAGGTTTACAGGTGAGCCACAACAACACACACATGCACACATCTCATCTTCTGTTACCAGGACGACCCTCACACTTCTCGTTTCCTTTCTCTCAGCCTCCCTCTTGTTCTCTTTTCCCTGCTTCCTTGCATCCTTTTGGATCTGTACTTGGCGAGGAGGCGGAAAGTCGACTGCACTGTGTTTTTGATCCAAAAGGTAAGGAGTTCTCTCTTAAACACACCCATACACACACTCACAAATACTCTACACACATCTCTGAGCTGTCCGGTCATTTTCTTTTGACAGCAAATGTGTTGGAGCAGCAGGAAGCAAGAGATGAGCCGCAGCGGAAGCTTGATGTTCTCTACGAGGAAGGTAACACATCTCCTTTTTTACTTTTAGGGAGCTTTGATTGATTCATCTTGTCATTTTTTTAGGTTTTATTCTGCCATTTCAGCCTTATATTATTTCAAGATACTTTAAACTATAGGCTAGAGTCCTGGAGATATTATTAAACAGGTCTTCTGGGTACAGGCTCATGCGTAAACCCACCGCAGACAAATAAAAGAACTACAAAAGGACGAAAACAATTACAAAATGACACTAAAAAAGGCTAAGCAAGACTTTGAAGTATCTGCTCTTATGTAGGACGGTGATTGGGCCCACTGTCTCACAATCTGCCCATGATTTGAGTAAAGAACCACACACCATTTCCTTTATCCCGCCTCTATATTTTGGCACCTTTAGGTGTGATTGTGTTGTCGTCTCCGTCCTGCTGTGAAGACCTCCTCAGATCTGTCTGCAGTGAAGGCGGGTTGAATAACCTGCTCCACCTCCCCGAGGCCTCCCGTCCAATTATCACCTTGAAAGGTAGAAGAAAAAAAACCTCACACACACACAGCTATTCTCTACTGCATTTATGTAAAAGACAACAAAATCACAAAAAGATGGTTGACAATGTAAAGAACAAGCAGCTGTAGTGTATTTGGAGCTGAATGCTAACATCAGCATGCTCTCAATTACATTGCTAACATGCTGATGGTGAGTAGGTATTTATTTAATCATCACTCTGAAGTACATATCCTTTCATGTGACTCTCAGCCAGAAAGCAAATAAGTATATTTTCCAAAATGTTATATGATTACATTCAGTATGTGTGAGTCCCAAATCGTTTAAGTGAATTAACTGAAATTCCCAACTCTCATTAGATGCAGAAAATTGTGATGGCAATGCCTATTGGAGGGGCTGGGGACCAGCTTCTGGACTGACAAACAGCTCCTTCCTTCAGCCTACTTCGATCAGTTGGTAACCTCACTTTTTTACACATTTTTACAAATTATTAAAGTTTCTTCCCACAAACCTTTCTTGTACCCTTTGTGCAATATTCTGACATTTCTCCTTTCTCCTCCCTCTCAGCTATGCATGGGACCCTGAGTGCTCTAATTGTTACTTCAAGATGCAAACCTGCGCCCCTCGTAGCAGCACTCTCACTCCGGCCCACATACAGCCGACCTTCCAATGCGCAGAGCCCAGCAGGACGCAGCCGATGACAGAGTACCAATCCAGGTACTCTGCTGCGGTAAGAGACTGTGTGTCTGTGTGTGTGATGATCATCAAACACCTTGTACATATTTCGCTAATGACCTTGTGTGCCTACTCCTAGTGGGCCCAGCCTAAGATGCAGCAGAGTTACGGTCACCATCGTCATTGACCTCCTCAAAAGACACTTTATTCTTCCCTCTGAATCTCATCTCTTGCTTCAATACACTGCAGATCAACCAAAATACATTGTTTGTGTCTTGTGTCAAACAGTTTAAAAAAAGGGATGCTATTTCTTCCAATCACTTGCACTTTTTAGCCTGAAAGGGTTATCACATGGGAAAAATCCTTCCTAACAGAGGCAGCGGTCAATGATTCTCGCCTCAGGAGGATACACAAGCTGAGGATGAGTCATAAAACAGCAGTAAAGCATCTGCTGGCAGGAAGATTCTTAAAGGAGGCAGTCAAATGGGCTTCTTGACATCCTGAGGTTTAAATGTGCAGCAGCAGTTAAGAAGTACTCAGATCCCTTTAGTAAACATACCACAATATAAAAATAAGTAAAGTCCTGCAGTAAACCTACTGTGCTCTAGCAATTGTAAAAGTTTTAATGATTATTAATTAGTCTTAGTTCTAAAAGTCTCTTGTACATGCAGCTTTAATGTACAAGTAAAAACACTTAATAGGGTGAAAAAAATGCCTTCTCCGGTTTTATCATTTATTTTTCAACAAAAAAACAGTTCTGCAATTATGTTCTGAGTAGCAAAGATTATTAGGGGTCACTAAGGTCATCATACTAGATTGATGATGTTCTGCTTGCTTTATAAAATGGTGATCTTCCAATGGGGTCATTTGCGTCCGAGAGTGATGCCACACTCATTTACTGCTTCTGTTCGGGGGTTAGATGATTCATACTTGCTGCTCTTTTTCTGAGACTCCCTCCTAAATGGGTAATTGGCACAACAATATCATGTGACTTTTGTCAGTGTAGTCAGACACCCTGAACAAGCCACTCGCTCCTCCTTACAGAAGTGGTTGACTGTAGAAAACGACCCTGACCCCACCACTCCAATGGGAGGACATCATTCGGCCATAAATCCTCTGGGTCTGTTTCAGGAATCTTATATGTTTTGTGTTCAGAAGGACTGGAGCCAGTAGCCAGCATGAGGCCTAAAGAAAGGAGGTCAACATGACCTGTGCGGCAGCGTGTTGCCTTTTTCCTCGTCCTCGTTTTTTTCAGTGAAGGAGGATTGTAGTCAGTTTGTCCTGACGTGTGAAGATCTCCGGTGAGGAGGTCTAGATTGAAAGAGCGTTGAGTCGATTGTGTAGTCTGATGTTTCATAGCCTTCCTAAAACATAGAAACATAACTTCAGTTACAACTTAATTACTTCTTGGCTTGAAATTGTAAATTTGAAGAATCACATTACATAGCATCAGGAGGTTCCCAAACATCCCTGATTGTTCCTCTGTTACTTTAATGGCTGCTAGACATTTTTAATTGGCATTTTCTACATTAAGAGCACTTTGTTCATACCTGCAGCGATCTGCTCTGGCTCAAGCTCCATACCCATGTAATATTTCTCCCTTCTTAAGAGTTTTCATTTCCTCCGATGAAGGCCAATGTTTGAACAATCTCATCACAAAGTTCATTCAGAAGATGATCACCTTCAGTCATAACAGAGTCGTCATGGGATTGCAAATGCCCCAATAAGTGGAGCTACAGAAAATGGATATTTCAACTTTACATTTCCATGACTACTAGGCAAAATCTGCCAGGAAGATTTTCGTGATATGACCCAAAGCTTGAGGACAGATACTGAATGGTCCTTGTGGTGAGATTGTTTGTAACATTCATGCCAATAACAAAAGTATATTGAATACTTTTGTCAAGGCTACATTTTAACAATACCCTGACAATTTGGCAAATTATTGTACAAAATAACATCAAGCATATATACCTTGACTATTACACTACTGTCCATTTAGTAAACCAAATGAAAAGAACATTTCCCAATGAAGCAACATTGATAGTATTGGAGGTTATTTGAATTCTACAAATCTTTGGAAAATAGAAGCATAAAACCATTTATTGGGGTCCAGTATGCATCAAAATGTGACAAAAGACCAACAAAGAACTGTCTTTTAACATCTTTATTCTTCTTTTTTCATTATTTTTATTTGTATTGAAATTCTTACTCTTTGTGTCTTCTGGACCTCTTTTCTTTTTTTAAACGGCGTATGTCATCTAAACGCGTCTAAACAAAATCACCAAAAATGATTTCATGTTGTACAATCCACCTGGCGGACATTCCTATTGGCTTCACCAGGGCGCCATTCACCACAACACTGTGAGGAAGTTCCATTTTAAACACAGATTTCACACTTTAAGAACACACCGGAGTACTTGTTAGGCTGCATGGTTGTAAAAGGAGAGCTCAAATACTTCAATAAGTTACAAGTGCACAAGTGTGTTCTTAACACCTAAATACAACAGACATTATCACTGTTAATACTACAAATGAATGGTGACATTAAGAACATATATGTTCAGGTCACAAGATAATGCCTCTGCATTTTAAACCATAAGTGACTGAGACATGACATCTGGGTTTCCTGAAAAGCATCTTCACATAATACTACCTTTTCCTTTTCGACTCAATGGGAGATTATACTTGCACTAAACAGGCAATGTTTCAAGGAAAGCCAGACCGCAACAAAGATTTATGGTTAAAAAGAACTTCCTCAAAAGACGTCAACCTACAAAGAAGAACAGCAAGGAAGCCATACTGCCAGCCACATGTTCCATACTGCTTTATTCTGATTGGCCATGACAATATTGTCCCCTCACGTTCCCTCCTGCAAACAGGACTGAATGACACCACAGGTTACTGTACCCAGTAGAGACACAAAATTCCTCATCCTCAAAAACATGAAGAGAAAAAAAAGAGGAGGAGAGGCTATTTGAAAACCTGATTTGGATATGGACACTTGATCTGATGCTGGACAAACCAAATGATCCGGCAGAAAGAGGCAGTGGCTGTGTTCCAGACCAAATACTCCCCTGTAACAAGGTTGTTCACTACACCCCATAAATCTAAATTGAACTAAAGGATGAAGCCGTGAACACTAATAACTGAGATTTTTTTATTAAAGGGCCAAAAATCTCTGACCTTGCCTCTATAATAATATTTTTCTTGCTTAACTCAACTGGATGCATGATTGAGAAACTCACGCATCTGAGAAAAGATAAACATGGACTTCCACATAAATTGGGAAAATAACTTCTCATCCATGATTACCTGTCTGTTCAGATCACTTCAAGAACAAGCGTGCAGGGAGGGTGGGGTCTGTATTTAGTTTGGAACGGAGCCGTCGCAGATACAAAGAAGAGCCCACATTTATAGATGCACAAGAGCTGTGACGTCGCCATGAGCTTATTACGTCATAGTAGCAAACGGGTGTGACTGACCGTAATGACACAACAGAGCAGCTGCAGAAACCCATCAAGTCCCCTGAAATGTTAGTCATTCTTTAAACTGCACTATTGTGGAGACCTTTGATCTACAGACGATGTTTCTCAAATCTGACAGCACACAAATTAACACTTAAGTGAAGCAATTTCTCCAAGTTTATTATTATTAGGTGTTTTTGGATTGACGCTTTGTCCTGGTTTCACTCCTTGGTAGCTGCCTCAGTTCCAAGGGGACATCGATGAGATCTGCATACTCTGTAAACATCAACAGTGCCATCTGAAATGCGATGATGAGCTAGCGCCCGCAGTAAGGGCGGTGCTGGTATTACACCCCTCCCCACCCCGTTCCCAATGTCCCTCAGTTTACAAGAAACAAACAGGAAATAAAAAGATTAAAGAAACAAAAAGAAAAATAAAGAAAAGAAAAATAAATCCCCCCACCCCCAACTGGGCCCGTCAGCGCAACATTGACTTCAAGCGTGTAGGAGTGTGTGTGTGTGTGTTGTGTGGGTGTGAATCAGTGTGTGTGCGGCCGTGACCGCCAGAGTCTCTGAGAATATGTGAGAACTGGTGTGTGTGCGTGCGCGTGGAGGCTCCATGGGGGTGAGGGGGACTCCTAGTATTTCTTCCCCGGGACAAACTCCTTCGCCTCGGGATTCAACATGCTCTTCCTCTGCAGACAAAAACACAAACGAGAGTAAGAAAATCTTTCTTTGACATGAATGTATTCTTTCACCATTAATGTTCTAGAATAAGCAGTTGGTGTGGGAAAGGTACAAAAAAATCTGTCCCATCCATTTTTTTTTTTTATCCGCGTCTTTAAAACTGAACCCCAGAGATATTTACTTTAATAAGATATAAAAGTGAAATCTGCATAATTGAGAGGCTGAATACAGACATTTGTATTTCTCTTTGTGTGTAATTAAATGCTCCTTTGACTCACCGCCACTTCCTCCAGGTTGTGGTGATCGTTGACCGACAGCCCGTTGAGCTGCTGCTGCAGCTGCCCCACCCCCTGGTTGTTGAGGTCACGTGAAGGGATGAACCAATCCTGGTCCTCCTCTTCCAGCATTTCCTGGAAGCAGCGTTCCAAGAACTCCTGCTCCAAGAGCTCCTCTTCCACCTGCGGGGAAAATAGAACGATGAGTGTTGACATTGGTGGGCAAAAGAGCAAGGGGAGGAATATAGGAGAGATCATTTGCATGATATGTGGGTAAAAGGTCCCCTAAAGAGGAATCTTCTCGGTAATGTAGTGGCACTTGATTCATCCAGGCGAGCAAGAGAAAAGGATGAGATACAGAAAGAGAAGCGGAGGGTGGGAGGCATAAGCATGTATTCATACAGGATGGCCTCAGTGAGTGAAGAGACAGGAGGAAGGAAGGGGGGGCTGAGTTGGGTAAGACGCAGTAGGACACGTAGGAAGGGGCAGAACAGCAATAAGAAGAAGAGGTGGAAGGTGGAGAGGTCATTTAGAGAAATCTGTGTTTTGGAAAAACAGCAAGGGCAGACGCCAAGTAAAAAGAAATAGGAGTGGAATGAAACTACGAAAGGACCTCTCAATCCAAACTTAAAAATTGGTTGGAATATTAGGAATTGTCCATGGTATGAGCACTCACCTGTCTGTTATACTCTTCTTCGTTCTCCATCCACATGTACTCAGCGAAGGGATTGGCGTCGCTGCCCTCTCCTGCGTGCCCATTGGCCACCGGCTCCTTTCCCTCTTTCCCTGGAGCTCCGCCTCCCGGTGTCTTGGCCACCTCTGGACCGCTCATCTCTGCCGGCTCTGCACGACAACACAGGTACAAAAAAAAGTGTGTTACAGCACTGGTCAAGACGTTAAAATAAAATTCAAACTTTAAGGGTAAATCTTCTCAAACTTCATTATGTAAAAAAATATGCTCAACCCAGCTAAAACACCCCGCAAACATCTTTTTGTTTCAATCTTAGAAAGGCAGATCACTTTGACTCGTTCATTAGTCCCCAGCCGAGTCTTAGGTTGCAGCCACACGAATACGATAACATCTACACACACACACACACACACACACACACACACACACACACATTATAATAACACACTTGTTTTAATCATAACCATCATAATAATACATTTGTGTTATATTAGGGTCATGCAGATTCAGGTAGCTGTCNAGTTATAAATATGTTTATTTTTACTGTTGGGTCACTCATTACTGGATCAGCCAGCTGCATGAGACCACGGATACTGACGGGCTGTCAGGAGAGGAGGAGGAAAAGAGAGGCTCCGTCCTCCATGTATCATTCTTATATTATTATAAAGTCGTTATTCATTTGTTTTAAAGCTCAATAAATAACAAAGAAGACCTTTGACCGGCACTTTTCGAATTTTGTCCGGAAGATTTCAACTTTAACGGACATGTTGACCGGCGACACCCCACCTCTGCTGCTAAATCCAGCGTGGAGAATAAACAGAACGGCAACCATGCATGCGTGAGAAGTCTTCTTCACTGCTTTTGGTGTATTTTGTGGCAGAAGTACAGCGCCACTTACAGGCCCAGCATATGTACTAAAGCGTCTCCATTAGTTTGCGCGGTCTCGTGTGGACGGACACGTTTCTGGTGCCTATTGCTTGTGGACGGAATACTTTTTTGATAACGATTTCGGTGCGTTTCTGTTATCGTCCTTGTGTGGCTGCTGTGGCTCGATTGGCTGTTAAATTAAGTTTATCCCAGCTGAAAGGCCCAGGATCCAAATTGGACAAATGTGCAGCATCTCAAACACATCTTTAGCTACAGCGGAAGAACTGCTCCCACGGGTAATAGAGTCTTGCTGCTCATAACCAACAAAAAACTGCTAAAGAACAATTTTCCATATCTAGGTATGTGAAAAAGAGACTGAGTGAAATATGCAAACACCGTCTGGGACTGATCCTCGTCTCTGAAACTTCTTTGTGGTAACTTAAAATGTCATGCAAATCTAAATTAATGACGGCTTAATGAAATGTTTGGTCTTTTAAGACTCTTATCAATCAATAAGTAATTGGGGGTGCAAGTGGAGTCTCGCAGAGGCAAAACTGTGGCGCGCTTACACTGTAGGTGCGCCGCAGTCTGCGTGATCTGCCTGTAGGGAGGGGCGGGCCGGCCCTGCGAGTACAGTAACGAGCAAAGTAACGAGTAAAGTAACGAGTAACTTTATTTAGACAGTAACGAAGTAGTGTAATATATTACTTTTTTTTTTTAAAGTAATATGTAATATATTACTTTTTTTTTTAGTAACGACCCCATCTCTGATTATTAGCAAGGAAAATACAAACTCTGGAGTTCACTGACATTTCCAGGCAAACAAACACCCAAAGAGCTAAAAACCATTTGGATTACGCAAATATAGAGAATATACTAGTTAACTTCCTTGTTTCAATTGACAGTTAATCTTTAGTGTTTGTAGCAAAACAAAAAGGTCAACAAAGATTACAATCTAAGTCATGGGCAGCAAAACCAAGATATGTAAACACGACAGTGGAAAGTAAGATAAGTGTTAGTAAGACTAGTAAATGCAGATGCTGCAGGTGTTGCGAAAGGACATCTGTCCTTTAGCTGGAGATTTATTAGCAAACCACTTAATTAAAAGGAAGAATACAAATTGGAATTATTTTTATGAAACTGGTATTAAATGTGTGCTTTTGTCATAGCTTGATGGGTTAGGAAAGTAAATGTGTTGCATGTGTCATTAACTGATTTTCTGTAAGCATTCTTTACATCTTTCGCTTTCTTATGGAATACTTATTAGTTTTACTGTAATTAAATACTGCAGCTGCCTAAAGTATGCACACAATTGGAACATACTATTCTACACTTAAACTTTGACCCCCTTGCTCATACATCAATCGCCGTCTGTCAATGAGCCATCATCACTCAATGCTCAGGGCATTTCTACCTCCCCAAAAAACACAGATTTTCTTGTTCTGAAACACAAAGTGCCATGCTGTGTGCATCTCCCCATTCCCATCTTGGCTAAAATTATGATTACCTTCATGATGTCAGCAACAGCTGTCAGACAAACCATATTATGTGAATCACGTTGTCATATTAAGTTACACCATCAACAAAGGTTCATTATTTTTTTCCAAAACGTGTCAGAGTGCTCTATGCTGGTTCAGTCAGTTAGCATTAAATCCAACTGGTTTGCCACACCGGACAGGTAAAAACTGAAGTCGACTCTTTACACTACTTTGATATGGTAAAATAGATGATTAAACATAATATGTGCATCCCTTTTTTTCCTGCTCTGATAAGAAATGCCCACTTTTAATGACATAATCTTCAGACTGCCAGCCAGCCCAACAGACTTGTCATGACTCAACTGCAGCCCCGCATTGGGGGGAGGACGATGATCTCAACAAGGCTTCGAGCAAACGCAGCCCCAGGGTCGGCCTGATGCAGACACATGATGGCAATGTTTGACTCCCAGCAGCTTAAGCCACAAGATATCCAAATTCAGGTTACATATACACCTATTCCAGCTGCCTCTAATGCCACACAGTTACGTACAATCGTCCATCAGAAGAGTTTAAACAAACGTGTATAATCTAAGTAGGTTAGTAGACTAAGAGGAGAGTCTGCCTGCCAGGCTCAGAGCTGTCTGTGTTTGTCTGTCTGTGGATAAACCAGTCTATTAATACAGTGAATGGATTCACATGCTACCAAGGCAAATAATAAGTGAGGCAAGGAGAGTGAGGCAAGGAGAGTGAGAGGGTAAGAAAGAGCATTTTGTAAAATAATACAACAAGCCTACATTTTATTCTGCACTAGGTAAGCAAGGCGCCAGCATGTTGGACGTGTTTGAAGCCGGCATGTGTGCCAAACTGCCAGTGTGTTCAAACTCCCTTTAACTGCAGTCTATAAAGTGTTATGGAACAACAAAGATGTAAATCGCCAAAGTTAAACGGACAGTTTAAAAAAAATTCACTTCGGATGTGTTGCACTTAATCATAATTTGATATATCAGGCATGATTGTGCAATTCATAGAGCAAGTAAATACACCAAACAGATTTTTGTTTCCACATTTTGGAATGTGCTACTTTAAATTGAATATCATTGGGTTTTAGACTATTTGAACAAAACAAGCCACTTGAATCTAGGGATGCACCGAATATTCGGCCGCCGAAAATTAATCGGCCGAAAATGGTTAAAAAGGCCCTTTCGGCCGAAAGGGTTTTAGCACCGAAAAAATATCACCGAATGTCAGAGAACAGGGTTACGTTGGTAAGCTAACGTGTTGTTGTGATGACGTAATCAAAACGCGGCGACAAGCACAGCGTGCGACCATGCTCGCAGCTGGCTCACAGCCAACATGTCTGCCGCTTGGAGATATTTAAAAATATCAGAGAAAGAGGCGCGGATTGCGATTTGTAAAACGTGTTCAGCTGATATTTCTCGAGGGGGTGTAACTGCAAAGACTTTCACCACTTCGGGATTACTCCACCACTTGAAATCAAAACACCCGGACAAATATGCGGAGTAAGATCAAATCACAAGCACTGATAGCGAGAGACTGTTCAGCGCTGCCTCTCATGTGCTTGATGAGAAGAGGAACAGACTTATGGCTGATAAAGCAGAGAAGCTACTGTTCATTAAAAAGAACCTCCCACTTTTCCTTAATAAGTAGACAAGGCTGGCTTATCATAAGCTTATCTAGTTCTACATGTCTACTCTATACCCACTTTCCTGAACACTATTCATTGTGAGTTATAATTCCAGTCCTCAGTTAATCATATAGGGGGAAAGACAGCAGCACGTGTTCATAATACGTCACTTTCGTATTAAATGAGACCAATGTTTTTCACATTGCTCCATGATGACAGACCACCTGTATTTGCAGATTCCTTGAAATTGGTAAATTAATTTAATTGATTAATGGATTTTGTATCCAAGGTTTCACTTTATGTATCTTATAACAATGTCCTTACTACTTTGCTTATGAAGGACAGACAAAGCCTTATTTACAGATCTTCGAAATTAATTGTAATTTCATTTGTAAATAGTTAATCTATCATAGTGGATTTATCCAGTGCACATTTGGTGCATTTGTTCGGTTGAAGGCCTGGCTAGTTAAACAGTCTTTTATTTACCTATTTGGTTGTAGCGCACTGGCCTAGGAGGTTATGACCTTTTAAAGTTCCTTGGACTTTGTTCTGATCACTTTGTTGTCGTTATTCCTACAGAGAAAAGAAAATGCACCTTGACTTTGGAATAATGTACGGTATGCATTCAAACAGTGCTGAATAAATGTTTATGGACCCATAATGATTATTATTTAAGTTAAGTTAAGTTAAGTAAGTAAGTTTAAGCCTACCATGTCTCTTTTCCACAATCAGAGCTGAACAACATTGGTAAAAAATGATACATATATAATTATATATAATAATATTATTATATATATTAATCAGTTTTTGCCTTTCGGCATCGCCACTGTTTCCTATTTCGGTATCGGTTTCGGCCAAGAATTTTCCATTCGTTGCA